CCTGATACATGGAAAAAGATTGAAATTGTCAAAGACTTCATATTACTTGGTTCTACACTCAACATCAATGGAAGTATCAGGCAATGTATAGCATTGGGCAAATCTGTGCAAGAGATCTCTTTCAAGTGCTGAAGAGCAAAGGTATCTCCTTGAGGAATAAGGTGTACCTGACACAAGCCATGGTATTTTCAGTCACCTCATGTGCATGTGAGAGCTAGACAGTGAACAAGGAAGACTGATGAAGAGTCCAAGCTTTTGAGTTGTAGTGTTGGCAAAGAATGCTGAAAGTATCATGGAGTGCTAAAAGAACTAACAAATCTGTCCTGGAAGAAATGCAAGTGGAATGCTCCTTGGAAGCAAGAATGGCTAGACTTCATCTCACCTGCTTTGGTCATTTTGCAAGAAGAGAGCATTCCCTGGAGAAGGATGCCATGCTTGATAAAGTGGAGAGTCAATGAAAAATGGGAATGCCTTTAATGAGATGGATTGACACAGTGGCTTCAACGATGGGCTCAGGTATAGCAAGGATTGTGGGGCTGGCACAGGACTGGTCATGTTTCATTCTGCTATACATAGGGTTGTTATGAGTCAGATATGAGTCAACGGCAATTAACAACAACAACATATAATTCTTAGTTGGAAATTTTTTTATTGCATGGTTTTATATATACCTTCCCATTGCCTTCTGCCATTCATGGTTTCTGCAGAGAAATCTGAACTTAGTATTATTGGTCGCCCTTTGTAGGTAACTTTTGTTTTTCCTGTGTTGATTTCAGGATTCTTTCTTTGACTTTGGTTTTGGTGAGTTTGATGATGACATGTTTTCATGATTTACTTTTGGGGTATATCCTGTTTGGGTTCATTGTATTTCTTGAGTGGATGGATGTATCATATCATATCTTTCATCATATCTGGGAAATTCTCTTCCAACAAAGCTTTGCCAGTTTTCTCAGTGGTTTTATTTTTCTCTTCATGTTCTGTAGTTCCAGTGACAGGTTATTCCTCCTGATGGTATCCCACATGAACCTTAGGGTTTCTTCATTTTGTTTTGGTCTTTTTTCTGATTAATCTCTTTCCAAGTAAGTATTGAGGTATTGGTCTTTAATCTCACTAATTCTGTCTCTTCCTGATTCAGTTTTACTCTTTTCCTGTTCAATGTGTTACCTATTTGTGAGAATTTTGTATAAATCTTCTGGATTTCTATCTGTAGATTTTGTATCATTTCTGATTTTTCATTTATTTTGTCATTTTGTTGTTGTATTGTCTTTCAAAATTATTCTAGGGTTATCTCTGTGTTTTCCTCAACTTTGTCAGTGTTTTCCTGATCTGTCTCTCAGTCCGTTGAAGGTACCTATTGTTATGGTTTTGAATTCCTTATCAGGGAGTTACAATGCTGCTTCTTCCTCTGGGATGTGTTCTGGGTCTATATCCTGGTCCTTTGTTGGTACTGCTCAATGTTACGGTTGCAGCAGTATATTGACAGAGAACTTCCAGAGGTGCAAGCTGGATTCAGAAGAGGATGTAGAACAAGGGATATCATAACTGCTGTCAGATGGATCTTGGCTCAGGGCAAAGAATACCAGAAAGATGTTTACTTGTGTTTTATTGACTATGCAAAG